CCGGGCCTGTCTCCTCCCGCCACATCGCGACCCCATCCCCGTCTCCATCCCCATCTCCCCCCGCCGCCTTCACCCCCGTGGGTCCATCCCCGGCTTCACCCTCATCACTGGCTCCGTCCTCATCATCATCCTCATCCCCTGCTCCATCCCCATCCCCATCCCGGGCTCCATTCTCATCCTTATCCCCATCCCCATCCTCATCCCCATTCCCGGTTATATCCTCATCCGCGGCTCCGTCCCCCCGTCTCCGTCCCTTGTTCCATCCCGGTTCCATTCCCATCCTGGCTCCATCCTCATCCTCATCCCCATCCCGGCTCCGCCCCGGACCCCTCCTGCGTTTCCGTCCCCGTCTCCCGCCCGGCGACCCCCGGCCCGGTGCGGCCCCGGGCTGGGCGCGGGGGGCCGGGGGCGCTCGGGGAGGGTTTACCGGAGGCGCCGGGGCCGCCACAGGCCGGACCCCCCCGCATCCCCCGCTGCGACCCCCGCTCGGACTCACCCGCGCACTGACCCCCTTTCCGCGCCGGTTCCACGCCTGTTCCACGCCGCTGCCCTTGCTCGTGGCCCTGGCCGTGGCATCGCCCCCTCCCCTCAGCCCCCACGAGCTGGGAAGGCGCCCAGAGCATCCCAGCAATGAGGAGGGGGCTCGTCCCCCCGCAGCCCCCCGAGGCTCGGGGCAGGGGGTGCGTGGTCGGGAGGGCTGCCCTGGGTTGGGTCCTGCTGGCTGCACCCCTTCGACCCCCAGAGGGCTGTTTGGGGGGGTCAGGCAGCGGCGTGGGGTCTGTCCCCAACACCAGCTGGGTGCCAGCGGCCCGGCAGCACCCACTGCCTGGCACATCCCATCCCCAGCCCTATTCCCACGGGCACACCGGAGCGCCGAGCTGCCTCCGGCTGTCCCAGCACCAGGGAGCTGCAGCCCCATTTTCGCTCTTTTCCAAGGAATTTGTAGGCCTCGAGGAGGGGTTGGCTACTGGGAACGCAGAGGGAGCGCGGAAGGAACGCGGAGGGAGCGTCGCTGCCGTGGGCACCTCGGCTGGTAACCCTGGAACCTCATGAGAACGTCACCACCTCCCCCTGACCCTCCCGTGGACAGTCCCTGGAGCACCTGCCCGCCGTGGCTGCCTGCCCACACCTGAGACACACACGTGTGCCCGCCCTGCCCACGCCTGAGACACACACGTGTGCCCACCCTGCCCACGCCTGAGACACGTGTGCCCGCGCCGCAGCCCTGCCCAGCCCGCGCCGCTTCGCCCCACCCCTGGGGCCCGCTGCCAGGTGGGTGCCACGGAGGGGAACGGGTGGGGAAACCGAGGCACGGGAGTTTGGGGAGCAGCAGGGCCGGGCCAGGGGGCTCCAGGCCAGGCTGGGGGTGCAGAGCTGCCTCCGGGCCCTGTGTGTCCTGTCCCCACGGTGCCCCCAGGCAGGGCCTGGGCAGGGGGCCGGGAACAGCCCAGTGACCAGGACTCTGGGGCCTTGCTTTGAGGGGACACCAGAGCTTGGGGAGTCTCCTCTTGGCTTACAGGGGGGCCTCAGTTTCCCCAAAGGGGTGAGGACGGTGCCCAAGCAGAGGTGGGTCCCCTCCATCACCACCCTGGAGGGGGTGGATTTGAGACCCTCAGAGGGGTCGTGGTGCCGGGGGGTTTATCCCTGTTTCAGCCCCTGACTGCCCATAGGAGTGCCCAGCGGGGCTGGGCTGTCCCCAGGCTGCACCAGTGGCTCGGGGGGGCTGTGCTGTCCCCCCCTCGTCCCCTGCAGATCTCTCCTCCCTCTCCCGGCTCTGTGCCATGAATTATTTGTGCGGCCGTGGCTCCCAGATGTCTGATGAGCCGGCGGGGCTGCGCCTGCCCTGTGGCCACCCCGGTGCCCACGGGGTCCCTGGGTGGGACGGGGGGCAGTGCCGGGGCACCACCCGCGGGTGCCGGGGCTCAGCACCCCGGGCACTGCCCCCTCACCCCCCGGGACGGCCGTGCCAAACAACCCGGGAGCCACCGGGGGCGGCGGCTTTGGGATCCTCCACCACCCACAATCCTTGTCCGGGGGGTGGGCGGGACGGGACGCCCCCCGGGCCGGAGCGGGGCCGGTGCCAGGAGGCAGGTGGGCCCCGGGGGGCGAGCGGCAGCGCCGGTATATAGGGCACGGCGCGGGCTGTGCCGGCGCGGAGGCGTGGGAGGCCGGGAAGCAGCTCGCGTGCGGCACAGGGCGGGAGGCAGCGGCACCGGACGCTATTTCTGGTGCTCGTTCCCCGAGGGGATGTGGGGGAAAGTCACCGTGTCCCCCCTGCCGGGCTGCTCTGCTGGGGATGGGCTCTGCTCCCGCCCTCGGCCCGGGCGGTGAGGGGGGGCTGGGGGGTGTCAGACCCCCTGTCCCTCCTTTCCCTGGTGGGGACAGAGGAGATCGCACGGCCAGTGTCCCCCTGCCATCCCCGGGGACACTGTGGCAGCTCCTGGGATTGTCCCTCCTCCATCACCTGTTGTTTTTGGGGCACGCTGAGCTCCCTCAAACCCCGCTCTGTCCCCGGGACCCATCTGAGCTCATCCATCCTGGATCCCACCCCAGTGTCCCCACAGACCCTGGCCGGGCCCATCCCTGCCCCGTGATCAGCAGTGTCTGTGTGTCTGTCTGTCCGTCCTGTGCCCCCCCAGGCAGGACATGGACTCCATGTTCGAGGACGACATCAGCATCCTGACGCAGGAGGCGCTGGGGCCGGACGAGGACTGGCTGGACAGCCCCAACACCGACCTGTCGGGGGAGATGTGCTCGGCCTCGCACTTCGCCCTCATCACCGCCTACGACGACATCAAGAACCGGCTCACGGGGCTGGAGAGGGAGAACTCCACGCTCAAGCGCCGCCTCAAGATGTACGAGGTCAAGGTGAGGGGTCAGGAGGGGCTGGGGGGGGGTGTAGGGCCGGGGGGGCCCCGCTGACCCCCTGCCCCGCGGCCGCAGTACCCCCTGATCGGCGAGTTCGGGGAGGAGCACATCTTCTCCCTCTACGAGGCCAAGGAGACGTCGCTGCTCAAGAGCGAGAAGGCGTCGCTGCAGCAGCAGCTCAACCAGTTCCAGCACGAGGTGAGCGGGGAGGGCAGGGATGGGGGACATGGGGGGTCCCTGAGCTGCCCACCCACCCCCCGCCTGCTCCCCCGGCAGCTGCAGAAGAGCAAAGAGCGGGAGGAGCAGCTGGAGGAGATGATCCAGGCGTACGAGAAGCTCTGCGTGGAGAAGGCTGACCTGGAGACCGAGCTGGGAGAGATGGTGGGTGATGGGTGATGGCCCCCGGGGCCTGGGGACGTTGGGGTGCCCTTCCCCTCTCCGTGGCAGCAGCTGGGCCGACGGCATCTCCACCCCAGGGGATGGAGGCCTGGGGGGGCCGTGGCTGCTCGGCCCCGTTTGGGCCATGTCGGGGGTTGTAGTGATGCACCGGCTCAGCTTTATCCATCTTCCCCCTCCAACCCTGCCAAAGGATGCTCCCAGCTCCTGTGTGGTGCCAGTCCTACTCCCAGGGTTGGGTGGGCATCCCTGGCTCCCCTTTCCCACCCAGATGATTCCCTGCCAGCTGAGGGGCCACCCCCAGCCTGCCACCCTCTTCTGGGCCGGCCGTGCGCTGGGACAGTTCCCCCACCAGCACCACGGGGACCCCAAGAGCTGGGCTTGGGGCAGGACGAGCCCCAGGGAGAGGGGTCAGCTCATCCCTGTCCCCTCCCCGGGCAGCGGGCGCTGGTGGAGACTCACCTGAGCCGCATCCGGAGCCTGGAGCAGCAGCTGCGGCAGCGCGACGGTGGCGCCTTCCCGGGGCTGGGCACCCCCATGCCCGGCCAGGAGGTGCCTTTCCTCACCCTGCACCCCAACCCCGGGCTGAGCCACGGTGAGCCGCCCCCTCCCCGCCCCGCGGGACCCCCCGGGCCCCCTCCCGGCTGGGACGGGGCTGATCCGTGCGGGTCCCGCAGTGCTGGAGCGCGCCGGGGGCTGGCAGAGCCGGGCCATGGAGGCGCAGGGCCGGCTGGAGGCCGAGCTGGAGGCGGCGCGGCAGGAGAGCCAGCGCGCCCAGCACCGCGAGGAGCACCTCAAGGCCGAGTGCGAGAGGCTGCAGGCGGAGCTGAAGCACCTGCAGGACACCCGGGAGCAGGTACGGGGCGGGCCCGGCCCTGTGGGACCCCCTGTCCGTGCTGGGGGGGGGTCCAGGGGTTTGGTGGGGTGTCTGCTCTCCCTGGAGCAGGGATGGGGCAGGGTCTGGCCCTGTGGGACCACCCCTGGACCGTGGTGGGTGGGGGTCTGGGTGCTGATGGGGTCTGCTCTCCCCGGAGCAGGCATGGGGCAGGGTCTGTCCATGTGAGACCCCCTGTCCGTGGTGGGTGGGGGTCCGGGGGTTTGGTGGGGTGTCTGCTCTCCCTGGAGCAGGGATGGGGCAGGGTCTGGCCCTGTGGGACCCCCTGTCCGTGGTGGGTGGGGGGCCAGGTGCTGAGGGGGTGCCTGCTCTCCCCAGGAGCAGTCGGAGCGGGACATGGCCTGGGTGAAGAAGGTGGGCGACGACCAGTAAGTGCTGGGAGGGGGCTGGGCTGTGGTGGGGGGTCCCCGCTCTGGCAGGCAGGGATGGGGGCACACGGGGGCCGTCTGTGGGGCACCACTGGGCGTCACAGCCGGGGTGGGGACAGGACCCGCTTTGGGAGGGGTCCCTGGGGGTTCCCCACGTTGAGGTGCTGCAGCGGGGGGGATCCTGCACCCCAAGAGCAGTTGCTGGGGTCCTGCACCCCAAAATTGCTGCACCCCGGTAATTTGGAGCTGAGCAGGGCTCTGGGTTCGGGGTGCCCGGTGCCACACGGTGTGTGCAGTGCCCGGTGCCCGGTGGTGTGTCCGGTGCCGTGTCCGGTGCCCGGTGCAGCCTCGGAGCTGCCTCCAGAGGGCACTGACGGCCCGTGGCTGCCGAGCAGCACCGAGGATCAGCGGCTGTCACCGAACAGCGCCAACCCGTGCCACGCCTGGGCACCGATCCGCGCCATCCCCACGGCACAGACCCGTGCCAACCACAGGGCACCAACCCACGCCAACCACAGGGCACCAATCTGTGCCAGCTGCGTGGCACTGGGCAACACTGTGTGGCACCAAGCCATGCCATTCCTATAGTACCAAGCCATGCCATCCCTATGGCACCAATCCATGCCATCCCTTTGGCACTAATCCATGCCATCCCTTTGGCACTAATCCATGCTATTTCTATGGTACCAACCCATGCCATCCTCATGGCACCAATCCATGCTATCCCTATGGCACCAGTCTATGTCATTCCTATGGCACCAATCCATGCCAATCATTCTCCAGCCCATCTGCCCTGGGCAGTGCCAGGATCATGCCCAGCTTACCTGGAGCCACTGGCTCCCCCTTCTCCAAGGCCAAACCCTGCTGGAGGGTTTCCCTTGGCACTGGTGTAACTGGGTGTGGACCCCTCGTGGTGCCAGTGCTGGGTGTGGGTCCCTCCTCCACCTCTTCCCAGTGCCCCCCTGGCTGCAGCCCCGAGCCGTGGGTGCTCCATCTGGGCACCCCTGGGTGCCATGTGCAGTGCTGGACAAGGGCTGAGCGTCTCAGCTTTGGGGGTTTGGGCCAAGACACCCCAAATCTGGGAATAGCTGATGGGAGGTGGGGCTGTGACCAGACCCCTTGGGGCTGACGGTGGCATCAGGGTGGGCACAGCCTGAAATCAGCCACCTGTAGCCGGTTTGATCCGGCAGCAGCCTCCATTCCCCGCATTCCATGCCCATTCCATGCCCATCCTGGGATGTGGCAGTGGGACTTCACACCCCCGTGTCCCCCCCACACTGTGGCACCAGGCAGGACGTGCCAGGCTGGCACTGTACCTCTCCCTGGGCAGCCTGTGCCGAGCTGTGGATGGATCAAAGGTGACACACGGGGCTGGGAAGGTGCCCAGGTGTTGGGCTTCCCCCTCTTTTTCCGGAGGTGTCCAGAAGCTTTTGCTGTTCCTTGTCTTCCCAGCATAAATCAGTGTGGGGGGACCCGGGGAGGGGGTTGATCCATCCACACTGGCACCCCTGGGAGGTGCCCACCTCTCTGCTGCACATCCCGGGGTCGGGGGAGGGTCCCCTCCCTATCCCTCCCCACCCTTCCCCACCTTAATTCACTTTATTTCCATCAAATCCAGTCTCCCGTGCCTGGGACCCCTCCCGTGCTCACCCCTCGTTTTATCCCCCCCTCCCTGTCCCCCTTCCCACAATACCCATTTTCCCCCCCGGGGGGAAACAAAACTCCCAATCCCACCTTCCTTCTAAACCCAAATTCCGCCGGCTGGGAAGGGGAAGTTGAGGCACAGCCCTGCCCCGGGGGCACCTTCCCCCCTCCCCGGGCTCAGCCCTTCCCTCCCCGCTCTGATCTCGCCGATTCAGCTCTTTATTTGTCACCCGCTCCTCTCCGCCACTCTTTTGGTGTGAAAAAGCGCCTTATCGGCGTTTTCCATCTCCGGGGTGATTTTCTGGTGCTTTGCCACAGCGGGCGCGGGGCCGCTTTTCCTTCTTTTTGCTTTCTTTTCTTAGTTTTGCCCTTTCCCACCCCCCCCCTCCCTCCCCGCCCTTTCTGAGCTCGCGGCAATTCCCGCTTGGTCTTCCTCGGGAAGGACGAGCCGAGTGGAAAACGGGAGCAGGCGGGATGCGCGGGGGGAGCTGGGGAGGGGGCCGGCAGGGCTGGACTGGGGGGTCTCGGGGGTGGCTCTGTCCGGGGACATCTCCAGGTCTTTGTGCCCTCGGTGCCACCCTGGCAGGGCCACGGGGACTTCGGGGACGTGTCCTGGCCACCCAGATGGGGAAACGTGTGTTGCTTTTCATTTTCTTTTCCTTTTTCTCTCTTTCACTCTCTTATTTTTTTCTCTTCTTCCATCCTCCCCCCCCCCCGTTTTCTTATTTCTTTTTAATTCCATTCATTTTTTCCGATTTTCAATATTTTCTTCTTTTTTTTCTTATTTTCTTATTTTTCTTCTTCTTTTTTTTAAAGGTCTATATCCTCTTTCTCCCACTTCCCTTCTTTCCCTCCTTTTTCCCTTTCCTTCTTTTTCTCCTTTTCATTCTTTTCCTTCTTTTCCTTTTTCTTTTTTTCCTTCTTTTCCTTTTTCCTTTTTTCCTTCTTTTCCTTCACACACCATTCTTCTCATTCTTTTTCTCCTTTTCCTTCTTTTCCCGACTTTCCCTCTTTTTCTCTCTGTATTCTTCTTTTTCTCCTCCTTTCCTCCTTTTCCTCCTTTTCCACTCTTTCTCCCTCCTCTCTACATATCCTCATTTCCCTTCTTTTCCCTCTTTTTTCCCCTCCCTATATTCTTCCTCTCTTATTTTCTCGCTCTCCCTCCTGCATCCTTATTTTTCTTCTTTTTCTCCGCGTAGCCTTTTCCTTCTTTTCCCTCTTTTTTTTTCCCTTCCCCTTCATCCTTTTTCTCACCCTATCCCTGCTTTCCTGCCCTTCCCCTGCTCTCCCCGCCGTCCCCCCGGGGGCAGGGGCAGGACCGGCGCTGTCAAGCCGCGGTTACGAGCGGCGGCTCCGGGTGCCGGGGGTGTCACAACGGCTCAGCGGAGCCTGCGAGGACGCGCCGAGCGCGGCCCCGCGGGGCCCTCACAGGCGGCTTCTCCCTTCACATCCCCGCGGAGAACTCGGGCTGGGAAAGCGACACCAACCCGGGGCGCGGTTGATGGATTTGTCACAGAGCTCTCGGGGAGGGGAGGGGGGTGAGGACCCGCCTCCTGGATGCTCCCGGCTGCTCCCACGACTTTTCGAGCTGAATTTGGGTTGGTTTGGGTCTGTCACCCTCAGAGCCACCCTGCTGTCCCCCCCCCGCAGGGTGAACCTGGCGCTGGCCTACACGGAGCTGACGGAGGAGCTGTGCCGCCTGCGGAACCTCAGCTCCCTGCAAAGCCAGATCCTGCGGGCCCTGCTGCAGGAGAAGGGCCTCAACGGCGGTAAGGGGGGCACGGGGGGCTGCACCCCACTGCCAGGCAGGGAGGGGGGCACAGGGGCCGGGAGGGTGGGCTGGCTGCCCTCGGACTCCTGACACTGCTGAGCTGACGCGGGTGTTGGTCCCCGAGAGTGTCCTGCCCTGGGAACATCCAGGGATCATCCCGGGATCATCCCACCCCGGGGGAGCCCATGTCTGGGAGCATCCTGCCCCAGGAGCATCTCACCCCAGGAGCATCCCACCCCAGGAGCATCCCACCCCAGGAGCATCCCACCCCAAGAATGTACCTGGGAGAATCCACATCTGGAAATATCCCACCCCAGGAGCATCCATTCCTGGGAGCTTCCTGCCCCAAGAACATCCATCCCTGGGATCATTCCACCCCAATGACATCCATCCCTGGGATAATCCATCCCTGGGATAATCCATTCCTGGGAGCATCCGTCCCTGGTATCATCCCACCCCAAGGGCATCCATCCCTGGGAGCATCCATCCCTGGGAGCATCCATGCCTGGGAGAATCCATACCTGGGAACATCCATCCTTGGGTGCACCCCCCTCCAAAAGCATCCACCCCCGGGATCATCCCACCCCGGGATCCTCCCACCCCAGAATCATCCCTCCCGCCGGGGGTCCCTCCCACATCCCCCCCTCCACCCGGGATGCCCGAGGGATATTTTCCGCACCGCCGAGCTAACGGGGCGGGGGGTTTTTCCTTTCGCAGGCCAGCGCCACTCCCCGCTGTCCCAGTGCCACTCCCCGCTGTCCCAGTGCCACTCCCCGCTGTCCCAGTGCCACTCCCCGCTTTCCCAGTGCCACTCCCCGGCCCAGCAGCGCCGCTCGCCCGCCCCGCAGTGCCCCTCGCCCGCCCCGCCGGGGCGCTCCCAGTGCCAATCCCCCGCCCTCCAACGCCGCTCGCCGGGCCCCCCCAGCCAGTCGCCGGCCCAGCAGCGCCGCTCGCCAGCCCCCGGCCCCTGCCAGTCCCCCGCGCAGCAGCGCCGGTCCCCGGTGCCCCCCTCCAGCCAGTCCCCGGCGCAGCAGCGCCGATCCCCGGCCCCGCCGCCGCCCTGCCCGTCCCCGGCCTCGGCGTCCCCGCACCGGCTGCCCGGCGAGAGGATGGAGCTGGGCTACGCCAAACCCTCCAGCCGCCACATCAAGGCCGGCTTCCAGGGCCGCCGCAGCTACTCGGAGGTGACCAACGTGGCCCTGTACCAGCAGAGCCGCTCGCTGTGGCTGCAGCCCGAGGCCTCCACGCTGCCCAAGCACCGGCCCTACGGGGACGTGTACCTGGGGGGCGCGGGGGCCCCGCTGAGCGCCCACGAGCCCTTCGAGGAGCAGCACGTGCGCTTCGAGAAGCAGCAGTCGTCGGACGAGGAGGAGTGGGCCCTGCCCAGCCCGCCCAGCCCCGAGGCCGGCGCCATCCGCTGCGCCTCCTTCTGCGCCGGCTTCCCCGCGCCCGACGCCGACGCCGTGCGCCGGACGGCCGCTGCCTACGCCCGGGCGGAACACGCCCAGTCCTGGCCCTCCATCAACGTGAGTGGGAGCCCCCCACGCCCCCCTCGGGGGGGGGTTGGAGGGCAGGAAACGTCAACCCGTCCCATGGGTCTGGTTCAGCGCCTCGGATTCCGCGTTTCTCGCCCGCCTCGGTGCTGGTGCCTGGAATGTTCCAGGGAGGGGATGGAGGGGGATGTGGCCAACCTTGGCATCTCAGCACCACCCTGTGTCCCCATACCTGCCATTGGAGACCCCCCACACCCCGGAGGGTGTTGTTGTGGGTTGGAAGGCAGGAAACATCAACCCGCCCCACGGGTCTGGTTCAGCGCCTCGGATTCCGCGTTTCTCGCCCGCCTCGGTGCTGGTGCCTGGAATGTTCCAGGGAGGGGATGGAGGGGGATGTGGCCACCCTTGGCATCTCAGCACCACCCTGTGTCCCCATACCTGCCATTGGAGACCCCCCACACCCCGGAGGGTGTTGTTGTGGGTTGGAGGGCATCAACCCACCCCCCAGGCAGGGTTTAGTGCCTTGGATTCCACGTTTCTAACCCACCTTGGTGCTGGTGCCTGGAATGTTCCAAGGAGAGGATGGTGAGGGAAGTATGGTCAGTCTGGGGGTCTCAGCCCTTCCCTGTGCCCCCACAGCTGCTGCTGAAGACCCCCCACACCTCGGAGGGTGTTGCTGTGGGTTGGAGAGCAGGAAACATCAACCCACCCCCCCGGCAGGGTTTAGTGCCTTGGATTCCCCGTTTCTCACCCAGCTTGCCCCCGGCAGCGGGAATGTCCCAGGGAGGAGATGGGGGGGATGTGGTCACCCTGGGGGGGTCTCAGCAGCACCCTGTGCCCTCACAGCTGCTGTTGGAGACGGTGGACTCGGAGGTGAGGAGCTGCCCCCTGTGCCAGCTGGCCTTCCCCATCGGGTACCCGGACGATGCCCTGGTGAAGCACATCGACTCCCACCTGGAGAACAGCAAGATCTGAGCCTTCCCCCCGCCCATTCCCGACCTTTGGATGCTGCATGAAAACACACCAGGAGCGCCACGGCTCCCGAAATACCTCCAAGTCTTCAGTAGCTACAGAAAGACTGAGCCCCCCACACACACCCCGGAGCCCCCCGGAGCCCCCCCAGCCCCCTGTAAGTGGGTTCCTCACCCCATCCCTGCATCCATGCCAGTTTGGATGCAGGAATTGGGGTGCCGGGATCACGCCACCCCAGGTGGTGGCCGGAGGGGACCTGTCTGTGCCCTTGGGTGTCCTCTGCACCCTTGGGTGTCGCTGCTTGATCTCAGGGAGGATCCGAGGGGCCGGGTCCTGCATCCGGCCCCCAGGAAGTGGGTGAGGGGAAGGGGCTGCCCCTTCCCCTGCTCCTGGGGTCAGAGTTGGGGTTGGGGGGCAGTTGCTTGTTCTCGGTCCCCCTCTCCCCATCCCACCAGTTCGAACATCTTTTACACTAAAAGCGCCCCCTCCCCTCAGTGTCTCCCCCCTCCCCCCAAAGATGCTGCTGAGAAACGGACCCCGGGGCGCAGCGAGGACCCCTCCCCACATTGCACTGGGCTCCGCGGCCCTGGGGGCTCTCCCTGACACCCCCCCCGGCGTGGGGACAGCGCAGCCCCCCAGCAGCCCCCCTCCATCCCCCCCAGACCCCCCTGCTTTGGCCGGGGGGCTGCAGGCGGCCGCTCACCCTGAGCCC